AAATGCTAATGCACGACACAAGCGCCACTCACCGGTCTCGAGTCCCACAGAGGAGCTCCGGAAGGATAAAAGGAGGAGTGACGACAGTGTTGGACGAGAGAGGACCAGGCCTGGACTTTTTTTTGTGTTTTGTGTGCGGCAGTCGTCCACGAGGGGCTGCCGCTTTATTTTAATGTTGTGTTTGTTTATTTTATTTTATTAAAGTTTTGTTTAAATGTTCGCCGGTTCCCGCCTCCTTCTTCCCGACCTATGAACGTTGTTACAGAATGTTAATCAATGCTTTCGAAGTAATGTATATTAACCCTTTGTGCTGTATTTTCTGTTGGCAATTTGACATGCAGTTTTCATACCCTACACTTCGCCAACCACTGAAACATTTCTGGCCTCGCCCCTGAATAAAACGAGGCAGCAGTTTACTGTCTGGGATTTGTCCGCTGCTTTTGATACGGTTAATCACCAGATCCTCCTGTCAACCCTATTGGCAAAGGGCATCTCAGGACCACACTCCAGTGGTTTGAGTCTTACCTCTCAGATAAGTCCTTCAAGGTATCTTGGAGAGGTGAGGTGTCCAAGACACAACATCTAACTACTGGAGTGCCTCAGAGCTCAGTACTTGGACCACTTCTCTTCTCTGTCTACATGGCATCACTAGGTTCTGTCATTCAGAAACATGGCTTTTCATATCACTGCTATGCTGGACAGCAACCAGTCTGGCTTCAGAAGTGGACATTCGACCGAGACTGCCTTGCTTTCAGTTGTTGAAGCCCTAAGACTGGCAAGAGCGGCTTCCAAATCTTCAATACTTATCTTGCTGGATCTGTCCGCTGCTTTTGACACGGTTAATCACCAGATCCTCCTGTCAACCCTATTGGCAAAGGGCATCTCAGGACCACACTCCAGTGGTTTGAGTCTTACCTCTCAGATAAGTCCTTCAAGGTATCTTGGAGAGGTGAGGTGTCCAAGACACAACATCTAACTACTGGAGTGCCTCAGAGCTCAGTACTTGGACCACTTCTCTTCTCTGTCTACATGGCATCACTGGGTTCTGTCATTCAGAAACATGGCTTTTCATACCACTGCTATGCTGATGACACTCAACTCTACCTCTCATTCCATCCTGATGATCCGACGATAGCTGCTTGCATCTCAGCTTGTCTAACAGACATTTCTTGTTGGATGAATGACCATCACCTTCAACTCAACCTTGCCAAGACAGAAACCCACTGTTTCATCACAATGTCACCATCCAGTTAGGCACATCAACCATAACTCCTTCAAGAACAGCCAGAAACCTTGGAGTTATGATTGATGATAAGCTGACTTTCTCAGACCACATTGCTAAAACTGTCCGGTCCTGTAGATTTCCTTTATTCAACATCAAGAAGATAAGGCCCTTTCTTTCAGAACATGCTTCACAACTCCTTGTTCAAGCTCTTGTTCTATCCAGGCTGGACTATTGCAATGCTCTCTTGGCAGGTCTTCCAGCCAGTTTTATCAAACCTTTACAATTAATCCAGAACGCAGCAGCAAGATTAATTTTTAATGAGCCAAAAAGAACACATGTCACACCTCTATTCATCAATTTGCACTGGTTACCAGTAGCTGCTCGCATTAAATTCAAGGCATTAATGTTTGCAAAACAAAAAACACCAGTGGCTCTGCACCCATTTACCTAAATTCATTACTTCAGAGTTATGTGCCTCTAGAAGCTTGCGTTCTGCAAGTGAACGGCGTATTATTGTTAATCTCAAAGAGGCACAAAATCACTTTCTCAGACTTTTACATTAAATGTTCCCTCCTGGTGGAATGACCTGCCCAACTCAATCTGAGTCCTTAGCCATCTTTAAGAATCAGTTAAAAACACATCTCTTCCATCTTTATTTGACCCTTTAACTCTTGCACTCTTTACTCTAATTCTATTCTTAAAAAAAAAAAAAACACTTGTCCCTTTTAGACTATTCATTTGCTGCATGTTTTAATTAAAAAAAACTAACACTTGCTTCTCTAATCTTTTTGTATTCTGTTTTCTTTTTATTTATTATACAATTAACAATAGCAAAAAAGGCCTCTAACACTAGATTGCTCTATTCTTTTTCTATTCTATCTGTTTTCTTTTTCTTTATTATTTTAAAAACCCTTGCCACGTGTACTGCGTTAAGCTAACTGAGACTTGTTAATGCACAGTATATACAGTATATAATATAGAGACGTTATTTCCAGGTCCAATACATTGCTGGTTTTCATGCAAGTCAGCAAGTCATTGACAGATTTCTCCCCCCCAGTCTTTGAAGCATATTTCCTACATTATTTCTTTTATTAATTTTTTTTGTTCAGTCATTTAATTTAGATGTGTATTTCTATTTTTTTCTGCCCCTTTTAATTAGTTCATTTATATATTCATTTAAAACAACAACAACAACAACAACAAAAAACGAGTAATAAAGTGTACAATAAAGTACAATCAAATCCTTATATTATAATCACATTGCAATCTGGTGTAATCTGCTGATTGTCCTGCAGGTGACCGCATAAATCTGTCTTCTTACGATGCACTTAGGGCTTTATAATTACTCCAGAGCACTCATAGATCTACGATGATTATCAAGTGCTACTTAAGTTACGATATTTTTGGGAAACAGACCGTAATATTAAGATCAGTCGTACGATCGTTTTTATGAACTTCTTAGGCTTACAAAGCTTTTGGGAAACGCAGCCCAGGCAAAGCTGGTTACAGTAAATTTTTCATGTTCAAAAATAAAATTTGTTCTTTGAATGACTAATTTGCTGTTAAACTCCTCATATGAATGCCTGCATGACATGTATAATTCGGTTTAGACAGTTTGCAAGAATGTTTAGCGTCAGATCCAGCTATTATAACCGTTTTTGGACTTGTCTTTTCCACTTAATTTAACACTTTAGAAAGTTAATAAAGTAGGAAGTTGCAGTTTAGAGTCAGCAATATCTTTATCTTATCTTATTTGCAAAATATTGGAAATATTTTCGGTTTATTTCTATTTATTTTTAGTTTTTTAGTTTGTTTTAGTGTCAATATCGGGCAACAACATGCATCGCCGGAACTTAAACAGAAAGCGATCAAAAAAGCCCATGGACAGGTTTTTGCTGACATGATACGACCGATATTCGGTAAGAGAAACGCAAAAATTATCATGATATTATCTGTCATAAACGTTATCAACGCTGTCAAAAACAGTAGCATTTAACACTAGTACACACAGATCTGTAGAACAAGTAGGTTACAGAATGAAATGAAATACGCAAAAACTAGCCACGTCATTCATTATGGTTAAATTTTCACAAATCATGCTATAAACTTTCATAAGAGCACTAGACAAAGTTATTGTAGTTATGTATTGTTGCAATAAACAACTGATAAAAGTATCCACCCTTAAATATAGTAAAGCATTAACAAATTTTGATGCAATAAATAGGGTATGATTTAAAAATCCAAGCGTGTTTGTGTTGTTCTTACCTGAAGTCTCCATGAGGAGATTCACCAGTAAAACAACTATAATCGACAGCATTCCTGCAGACAGACTCCAATAAAACAAACTCTGAGGCAGATTCCTCCAGAATAAATCACATGAGAGACATAATCGATGCTCAATGAGGAAACAAACTCACAGGAGACAAAGAGAAATCAAATAAATTCAAATATAAGCGACACAACTCAGTGGGAATCCAAACGTGCTCCTGATTTTCCTCCAGTTTTACTTTCGCTTTCTAAAAATAAGGTCAGATGGCGCCTCAATAAGACAGTCATCAGATGAAGAATAGCGCTTCGTATTCGGTGTGATTCTGTTAGATGTGATTTTGTGTAATGTTATTTGCATAGGCTATGTCTGGAAAATCTACACTTGCCGCTTTGACACGTAAAGTGTATGAGATTTTTTTTCTCATTTTGTCTTGTTATTTTGACTGTAGAAAAATATATCAAGAGGGAAAAGCCTGCCCTGCAGTAGGCTATGTGATATCAATAGTATGACAATAATAAGCAGAACTGACGGCCAGCTAGAAGAAGCTTCTTCATTCTGTTCCTGTGTTTGATGGATGAACATCTTTTGTAATTTTTACCTTTATTTGTATAGCGCTTTATGCAAATACCGCTGTGTCAAAGCAGCTT